AACATTAAAAAAAAAAAATGGCATTTTTTGGTCAGTTTGTGAATCACAATGCAAATTAATGTTAGCTCCCGTCATGAACTACATGTACAAAAGATTAAATTCAAATTAGCTCCTCTAAAAAGTTATGTATATATTAAACTATGAAATGCATCTATCAGAAATGCGGTAAGAGAAAGGAGAATTCCTTAAAACAAATTGAGGATTGGGGTGATTGGGTGGCTCAGTAGGTTAAGCATCTGATTTTGGCTCAGGTCATGATCTCACGAGTTCAAGCCCCACATTGGGCTCCATGCCTGTGATGCGGAGCCTGCTTGGGATTCTCTCTCTCTCCCTCTCTGCTCCCCTCTCTCAAAATAAACAAACTTAAAAAAAAACTGAGGATAATCTTTGATTAATTAAACACACACACACACAAACAAACAGAATTTGGTTCATAGTTTAACAAATAGATTAAAACAGTCCCACAGATCTCGTTTTCTCAGCTCACTCCTCCTGGGGCCTTGCACAGGCTCTTCCCTTTGTTTTTCCCCCTACTCTCCGAGCTTCTTAAGGGCAAGGGCCCTGTGTCTCTTTTATTTCTAATGCCTTATAGTGCACAGTAGGCACTTTATTCATTGAACAGATAAATGAAGAATTGCTGCTCAGATCAAATTTATTTATTTATTTGTGAAATGTTTATTTATTTTGAGAGAGAAAGAGAGTGCAAGCAGGGAAGGGGACAGAGAGAGAGGGAGGGAGGGAGTGAGAGAATCACAAGCAGGCTCCGCACTGTCAGCGCAGAGCCCAATGTGGGCTCAACCTCAAGAGTCAAACGCTTAACTGACTGAGCCACTGCTTAACTGACTGAGCCACCGAGGAGGTGACCCCAGACCAAATTTAAACTCCAGGCATCCAAGCCCACCTCACCATCTATTCAAACTTACCTCCCACCATTACACATTACTCTTTCTTGTCCCTGCTCCCAGAACAGACCCATGCTCATTTCTGCCTTCTCTCATGATCAAGCTATGTACTCCAAACAGAATGCCCTACCTACACTCTTCTTTATGTATCCATTCTTCTAGTCCCATCTGTTCTATGAATCCTTTCCTAATCTGTTTGCTCCACGTTACTTTTTTCTATACTTCCCAGAAGCATATATTTTAATACTTGTTTTATCTTCTGTTTCATAAGAAACCTGTCTCTGAAACTTAAATACCATAATCTTCTTGAAGACAGGTCATGTCATACACACTGTAATATCACCTAATATATAGCATAGCACAAACCCAGCATTGTGTTAGCACACAACAGGCACCTGATAAATATTAATTATATTTATTCCTAATTTACACACCAATGACCTCAAAAAATTTCAGGCAGCTCATGAAAAAAATAAAAATCACGTAGACTAGGGAAAACAAAGATAACAAAATACCTAGGCTATTAAAGTCATTTTATTTGAATATTAACCTTCACTCTGATATTTCAGGAATCTAGGACTTAGCTTTAAAAAAAAAAACAAACTTGGGGCGCCTGGGTGGCGCAGTCGGTTAAGCGTCCGACTTCAGCCAGGTGACGATCTCGCGGTCCGTGAGTTCGAGCCCCGCGTCAGGCTCTGGGCTGATGGCTCGGAGCCTGGAGCCTGTTTCCGATTCTGTGTCTCCCTCTCTCTCTGCCCCTCCCCCGTTCATGCTCTGTCTCTCTCTGTCCCAAAAATAAATAAAAAACGTTGAAAAAAAAAAAAAAACTATACAAAAAGGAGAGAGAAGAATGAAGTTACTATGATGAAAGACAAGAATAAGGAGTCTGGATACTTAGTCATAGGAGGAATTCCTAGGATCAAAGAAGAGGACAGACTTAGGTGGTTGCAGAAAGGAGATTCTAAGGGAAACATGGGTAGTTTAGATGGTTAAGCATCCAACTCTTGATTTCATCCGACTCCGTATTGGGCTCTGTGCTGACAGCGCGGAGCCTGCTTGGAACTCTCTCTCTCTCTCCCCTCCCTCCTTGCAAATGCGCGTGTGCCCTCTCTCAAAATAAATAAATATTAAAAAAAAAGAAAGAAAGAAAGGAGATTCTAGAGTCTAGAAAACACGAAACCACTCTATTTCCTCAAAAGCCAACGTTCTGAGTTAAGGATCTGGAGAGGGAGAAAAACATACCTCTATTCTAGAACAGTAATCAATGGGAAGATAAAAATGCGTTTATAAAACAAAGATACCTGTAAAATAAATATCTTTTTTTTTTTGGCATAATTACTTCCAAAGTATTTTCACAACTGGTATCTCGTTTTATCCCCCAAATGCTCATAGCACTCCCACAAAGAAGATAAAGACATTTGAATTCCTATTTTACAGATGGAGGAACAGACACAAAAATAACAGTCAAAAGCCAGCACTAGTTATTGAGATTCTAAACCTCAGATTCCTCCCTCTGCCCCCACATCCTATCAGCTGCCTCCTCCTAGAGATCTTATTACCACAGTCTCTTCTACCCCTTTCCCCTTATTTCCATCTTTACGTCACAAACACCATTCCAGGGGCGACTGGGTGGCTTAGTCAGTTGAGCGTCCGGCTTCGGTTCAGGTCATGATCTCACGGTTTGTGAGTTCGAGCCCTGCGTCGGGCTCTGTGCTGACAGCTCAGAGCCTGGAGCCTGCTTCTGATTCTGTGTCTCCCTCTCTCTCTGCTCCTCCCCCACTCGTGCTCTCTCTCTCTCAAAAATAAATAAACATTTAAAAAACAAACAAACACCATTCCAGTTAGGGCTTCTCCTGCCTCTTTCCTGAGCTATGGCAACTGTGCCCTCATCGGTCTCCCAGCCTCCACCTCTGCTTGGGTAATCTTCCAAAAGTTCCGCTGGGATCATCCCATTCCCCTACTCCTACTCCCCTCAAACCCTGCACCCACTTGCCTCCACGTAAATGCCCTCTTTCATCTGTCTGCTGGGATCTCACCCTACATCTAAGGTTCCACTCAAACCCTACTTTTGTCCATGAAGCCACTCAGCCAGTCATCCCTTTTCCTCAACTCAACATGTACTAAAAGCTGTTTTAGGTTTTCACTAAATATTTGAATGAGCCTGAATTTGAAGATCTCTTATTCAATACTCTTCCCCACTAGACTCCAAAGTAATCCATCTTCTGAGATGATATAACCTCAAAGAGAAGCCTAATTAGTATGCCATCATGGTTACTGAGCTGGTATCAGATGATAGAGCTATGGAACAGCTATAAAGAGAGAGAAAATAGAATATTGTCTTAAAAGGCCTGTAAGTGGATAAGAGCTATTAAAAACATCAAATTAAAGAAAATGCTGAATGGCATAAGCAAGACACCATACTAAGCACTGTGAAGATTAAAAAAAAAAAAAAAAGTTGAAGACGCAGTTCTTACATTACTTTTATACCAGTGAGGCTGACTTAAGAGCAACACTTACTAAATTAGGTATTAATGAAAATCTGAAACAGGAGAGGATGGCAACCCAAAGAAAAGCTGATAAAAATAATTCCCTTAGATCACTTTAGTCAGGGCCGTCAGCCCTACCTCCTTTCTCACTAATCTACTTCCCAGCCCACTATTCTATCACCACCTCCTTTTTCTCCCCAGCTCTCTACCCAATTTCAATCCTTTATTACTAAGAATCAAATACATGAAATAGGTGAAAGCAAATGAACAGTCCCATCTTCAAAAAGAAATTATGACATTTTTCTCCTCTTCAATTGAAAATGTTTTACATCACACAGGGGGAAAAAGCCCAGGATAAAAAATAAAGACAACTACTAAAAAAAAAACATCCTTGGACCTTCAGATTCTGCCCAGTTCTTGGTATGAAAATGAAATTGGCAACTAATGCCAACTATTCAATGGAAAGAGAATCTTGATAATGAAAGAAGTCTGCGTGAACACATTTAAGAACAACTATCAGAAAAAAGTGACTGGTTAGAATGAGTGTCCATTAAGCTTTGACCATGGATAAGTGACCATCACTTTCTTTTTAGGAAACCCAAATGAAAAACAATTTTAAGACTGGAACACACTTCAGCTTTGCAGAAAACTCAGATTTGAAATCTGCTTTTCCTCTCCACACAGGCCAACTCAGAATGACTTACGGAGTTCATTTCCTTCACTGAGAATCTCCACACGGCGTACAAGCTGCTCAAACAGATTCCGCAAATTCAGCATCGTCGTATCCATCTTTCTGCCAAGAAATCAAATATACATTAGAGGTCCTGCCTTCTCCCCCAGACAAAAGATTCAGTCCATCAGGGACTAACATCTGGACTCTTCCATTTGTAGCTACCATTATAAGGATCTCAAGCCAACAATTGGTGTTTTGTACAATCTTTATTATAAAAAAAAGCTGGAATGTTTTTAACACTCATTTGAAAATCAGAAAAGCATTTCAGACCTCCGAATATAACACCTCCCTTCCTGCCCACTTCTTTCCCCCCACTCTGCAATCATTCTGGAGCTCTGAGGAAAGCAGTTAGGGACAAGCATGTCAGTTGATTACTAGGTGACCAACTATAAAATGTGGCTCTCAGTCTACTGATTAATATAATGCTTTTGCCACTTTAATCCTTCTGGACTGTGAAGACCTTCAACGTAACTTAAAAGGTTTATTTTTTATTTCACTTTTAGCTAGTACCCCTGTTGCAACTGCCTTTTAAAATGCAGGACATGGTCAGCACATTTCCTACCAACGGCACAGATGACGTCACACGAGTGATTAAGTGAGGAAATCGCCAGCTCAGCAGCACAAGAATTATTTCTGTAATGCAGGGCTCTCTGGACTGTGTGCAGGGACTATGTCTAATAAATTTATACTAAGTATAGGCAAAGGATTATGTTGTACCACGTTCTGGCATCAAGGAGACAATACACCACCTTCACAGTTAGAAGGGCAAAGGAAAAAAATCATTTGCTACTGTATTCTGTATAGCGAATTTCAGGCTTCATATTACATTAAAAAGGAGTGTCCTTACAGGCAGTTCTGTTCTGAATAGACTTTAACTGGAAACACTTTGAGGAAATAAGATCTTCATTTAACAGTCAAGAAAAAAAAAAAAGACATCAACTGGATGTCACAAAAATTATCAAGGAAATGAATTAAAAAATAAATTTCATTTGAAAATTGAATGTCCTCAGAAATACCATTAAAGGATTCTTATGTTTCTCCAAATCACCCCTTCTACATTCTAGTACAGGTCCTTATTTGATGCATCTAAATAAAATTTTAAGAACTCTTTTATGAAGGTTTAGTGATTTTACAATGTATATAAGATTGTACTGTAAGCTAGGAGGGTTGAACAGGGTGTAAAAAAAAAATCCACAAAGGATAAAGGAATAGATAAACATAAAGATATTTTCTATTAAATGTTAATTATTCATTTGTACTCATAGGATGATTGTTCTAGTAGCCAAAAAGCTTTCAGTTCAGTTCTAAGCTTAGAGGCAACATATACCTGAATCAGGGCCGGAAACCAAGATTTTCAAATGGCAACGTGTCTGTTCCAAGCTACATAATCACAGCAAGCTGCTAAGCAACCAGACTAACAAATTTATTACAAAAACCTCTCTAAACTAAGAACAAAACTAAAAGAATAGCATTAAAACTGACAGAAAGAGTCTGGAAGTCCTGAAGATGCCCATGACTTAACAATATGACAAAATAGGCATATATACCCAAATGCTACAGGGCAGGAGCAGGGCATTCGGTAGCTTATTCAAATGATGATTTCCTTTGGCCCCTGTAAAAATGGGAAGAGACTGATCAGTTTTAACGTAGGGCATTGATTTCCGTCATCTCAGCACTTAATCTATGTATTCTGAGACCTTAAGACCGTGAATTCGGTACATAGGAAAACTATCTGCCCAAGAACGCAGAAAAGGAAAATTTCACAATGCAACTAGAGTATTAAAAACTGGTTTAAAAAAAAAAATCAGAGGGTTTGATGTTTTAAATGACAATACAATAACCTGATCCTTTCTTCCCTTTAAAAGAAATCCTCACATTTTCTCAGGTTCCTCTAGCCCACTATTCTTGCCTATGTTCTTTATGAATACCACTCACTAGAGTGAGTGAGGGTTGTGGAGGTACTCTCTTGAAAACACAACCCGATTCCTAAAAAGACTAAAGACACAAACAACCTACCGGGGATATCTCCTGATCACAGTGTTACCTCCTACAACTACCTGGACCTACATTATTCTCCACACATGCTGCCTGGTACCCAGGAGATCACTGTTTAACTGAACTCCCAGTGCTCTGCTATAAAACAAAGAGGTAACCCTTAACTGCCAGACTGTCAGAGTCTCCAGATTTAGAGTTTTATGAAGAACTTATGAATTGTTTTCTGTTCTTCCCTCTCAACACCAGACATTCCCTAAAATTCAATCCTCCAGTCTCTAGAACTTCTCAAGCTATCCCATGTTAGTCACTATAGCTCTCCAGACGATCACCTGCTCCTGAACACAGCCTCTCTCCTAACTCCAGTTCTGTAACTCTCAATTTGCTTGGGATGCCCTGGAGGTGTAGCCTGATTCTGAGACTTTGTTCTATCCTTCCCCCCATACATATTATTAGCAACTACTCTATCCACTCAACTACCCTACCGACTCCCAATTTTCATTTCCTTATTTTTACCATTCACTCAGTTCCAAACCCCAGAATCACCCTTGTTACTCCCCTCTAACATCTGTGGACTCTTCTCTCATGTGTTTTATACCCATCCCCTCATCACTGGCAGGGCATCATCACTCATTTCAACTGACCTATCCCCCACTGCTGTGTGTTGGCATTCAGACACACACACACACACACACACACACACACACACACACACACACACACCTTGCGCTCTAATTTAACTTTACCATGTTTTGGGGCACCTGGGTGGCTCAGTTGGTTAAGCATCATTTGAGCCCCATGTTGGGCTCTGAGAGGACAGCTCAGAGCCTGGAGCCTGCTTCAGATTCTGTGTTGTCCTCTCTCTCTCTCTGCCCCTCCCCCATTCACGCTTGGTCTCTCTCTCTCTAAGAAAAACAAAAAACTTTACCATGTTTCTACCCTATGTCCTGGGTAGACTATACATGTAAGAAGAAACCTTACCTTTGGCACTACTGTACTACACACACACTCAATATTTAAAAATAAATATTTGATAAGGGCACCTGGCTGTATTAGTTGGTAGAGTTGTGACTCTTGGATCTCGAGATTATGAGTGTGAGCCCCACATTGGGCATAGAGTTCAATCAATCAATTAATATTTGCTAAATGAAAATCAGAGAACACACACACACACACCCTTGATTCTACTGTCAAAAGAATTTCCATTCTACCTCAACATCAATGTGTAATATAGATGAAAACTGAAAAACGGTTTAAAAAAGGGGTTGTTTGTACAGAAGCCCTGGGATCAAGTTTTAGTTCTTCTATTTACTAGTATTACCTTGGGTAAGTCAAATTCTGAGATTCATCTATAATTGGGAACAGTAATAGTGCTCCATTTACCTCACAAAATATCACCAATTCATGCAGGTAGAAGTTTTATAGTGTATAAACTGAACCTTACTATTAAAATATACGATATTAGAAAGGTGCCTGGGTGACTCAGTCAGTTAAGCATCCCACTCTGGATTTCAGCTCAAGTCATGATCTCAAGGTTTGTGAGTTCAAGCCCCAATGTATGGCTCTGCCCTGACAGCACAGAACCTGCTTGGGATGCTCTCTCTCTCCCTCACTCCCTCCCTCTGCCCCTCCCCTGCTCACTCTCACTCTCTTTTAAAATAAATAAACTTAAAATAAAATAAGATATACGGTATTATAGTGAGTATGACGTTTTTTGTTTTGGTCTGATAGTTGTCATTTACATCCTACCACAGTGATTACCAAATCATAGCTGGAACCCAGACCAAGAAGAATGGAGAAGATAGCAAAAATCTGACCAGGTCTAGGCTCTTTAGCAAGCTGTTTTACATGAGGCTTGTAGCATATGAGAATAGTTTTTCCTCTAACACAGGTTTACTTAGGGTAATCCAAAAACAGCACTAGCAAAATATAATCCTCTTCTCTTTATATGCTAGGGGACTATGTATTTTTATTAACGTTCTATAGAAGTGACACTCAGGAGTTATTTATAGATGACAAAAATATCTTTCTGCATCAGTACTAACTCTGATATCTCAGCCAAATTGTAACTCAAAAAGCTAAAATTCACTCATCCTATTCAATGTCAATTAGAAATGGTCTTAATTTTCCTGCCGGGTCACATTTTCACCCACATGAATACTCCTTTATTTCTCTCCCTTTATTATTTAGCTCCATAGCTAGGAGATACACTAATGTGAAAGGAAACAAAAACAAAGTCATATTGTACTACATTGCTTTGCAGCTGTAAAACAGCTGTCACTTTTCACTACAGAGGCAGCTGCCTTTTGGGAAAGCTGAAATGATCCCTGTGTGTAGCAAGGAAATCAGTTTGTGGAGCACTTTAAACAAAAAGGTGCTAGAGAATCTCAACTGTTATTGATGAGAAGCCCCAGAGGTGGAGAAGTCACTATGTTACAGATTCCCAATCTGTGAGTATCCCTAAGGGAGCAATTTCACATCACCAGAAAAGAGTCTCAGCTTGATGTGATTGCTTTGAGTCCCCAATTTAATTTCAATCACCCAGCCAAGAGACAGACATCGTCCTTCAGAATAACAGACTATTATAGATCTTAACTGCAGAGTATCCTGGGAAAAGTCTCTATCCTCTTCTTCCTCCTAGAAACAACATTATTAAGAGACCTATACATCACATTTTAGATGCATCAAGGGTGTTAAATATTGTAAGACAAAGCAATAGAAGGTTGTCTGAGTTTTCCAGGAAAGAGTTTTAATGAAAAACATCTCAGGAACATTACTAAACCTGGAAATTCTCAAGAATTCAGCAATACAGGTTCTCCCCTGCCAAAGAAAACCATTCCCTAAGACAGTCTCAACACTGTAAGATTCTTTCATATGAAAGCATTTCAGAGCAATTCCTCTTCCCAAATGTCCAGCTTCTGCTTCACTATATCAGAAGTCTCTACCCAACTGCCAGGCAGAAGGAATATCTTGAAACCAAATGTTCTTAAGAGCAAATCAATTGCAGAAAGAGTAAACAGAATGTTCTCAGTCCAACATGAATGAAGACTAAAATAAAGAGATG